GCCCTATTTAGGGTGCTCTTATAGTCTCCGCAGAGGCGCACTGACCCATCTGGCTTTGTGGGGGTGACAATGGGTGTTTCCCACTTAGCATGGTCCGTTGGCTCCAGTACCCCTTGGGCAACGAGTTTGTCCAGTTGCTCATCTATCTTGGGCCGTAGAGCAAAAGGAACACTCCTGGGTTTAATTCTGACAGAGGCTACCTGGGGATCTAGGTTGAACGATATTGGGGACCCCATGTACTTGCCTAATTTGCCATCAAAGACATCCGTGAATTCTCTCATCAGCTCCTCTTCCCAGCCGTCGTCTTCAATCCAATTGACCCCGGTTACTGCTAGTCCCAAAGGCTTGAACCACTCCAGACCTAATAGGCTGGGTCTGTCCTGGTCCACTATGGTGAGAGGCAGTTTCCTCGGAAGCCTTTGAATCTTATGTTGAACTGTCCAATGCCCAGGACTGGAATCCGGTTGCCTTGGTAATCTTTTAGCGTGATTCTTTGATGTTTGAGTGCACTGGTCGTGAGGCTGGGAATTAGTTGCTTTATGGTGGCCCAGGATACCATGGAGAGGCACGACCCTGAGTTGACTTCCATTTTGCAGGGTCTCCCCTCGATGCCGCCATCTTCTTAGACTTTCCCGCGCTCTCGTGTCTGACTATTATTGTTTGATGGGTCTCCGCTCTTTCTGATCCATAGTCCTCACTCCTGCGCCTTCTCCCAAATGGCTGTTTCCGGGCTCCTGTCTGGAACTGTCTGGCTCGTGGCTGAGGGCCGGTTTGTTTGGTCCTGCGTGAGGCTGGCTGGGATGCCCTGCAAGCTCTTGCTATGTGCCTTTTACAATCGCATCTCTGGCAGATTGCGTCTCGGAACCTGCACTCTGATCTTGGGTGATTCCCTTCGCAGCCTGCACACCGCAGTTCCCTCTTTCCTTTCCCTTGTTTCTTCTCTTTGCGGTCTGAGCAGAGGTGATGGACTTCATCTCCTTCGTCTTCTTCTGATTGGGTCTCTACCTCCTCGTAGTGGATGGCGGCTTTTTCCTTCCCTTGCAGCCCCTTGTTCATTTTCTTCATGGCGGCTGCAGATTTCTGGGATGCCTCAGTCGCCATTGCTTCTTCCAAAGCCTCTTGAAATGTTATTTTTGGCCTTGTAAGTAAACGGCTTTGTAATGTGAGGTCCCTCAGGCCCAGTACAAGACGGTCCCTCATAGCTTCGTCCATGTTTAGGAATTCGCAAGTGGTGGCTATCTCACGCAATGTGGCCACGAACTCGCTTATTGATTCCCCTTCCTTCTAGTCCCTCCGGTAGAACTCGTTTCTTCTTACCAGGGATGAAGCTTGTGGTGCATAGTGGGCTCTCAGAATGTTCTGCAGGGTCAGCCAGGTCATCGTTCTCAGCTCTGCCGGTGATGCTAGCGCTTTTGCCATCTTAAAAACGGTGGCTCCGCAGTGGGTGAGGAAGAGTGCCCTCTTTCTCTGTTCCGATAAGCTCAGCAAGTCGTTTGCCTCGAGGAACATGTGGAATCTCTCCATGTACGATTCCCAGTATTCTCCAGCCAGGTTGAATGGTGCGGGCGGCATGATCGAAGACATCTTCTGGCCGTTGCTTCTGGTGGCCAGCGATTGCTTTGGGGAGCTTAGTGACTTAGTATCCGATTGTCCTCCTGAAATCCCACCTTCATCGCCAGTGCAAGATCGTGGGCAGAGAAAGGACACAGACAGTGACTTAGTAACAGCTCTTTATTAGCTCCAGTACAGCAATGGAAAAGCCTAGCCGCAGCAGCCCCTTTTAAAGGGAGCTGTCCACAGCTTCAGCCACTGACTTTCCTCTAAATCTCCCGCTTCTTTTATTTAATTCTAATTGGTCCGTTTGAATGGTCATTCAATACTCAACACAGGTGTTGGAAGAGGAATGCTGAGGGGGAGAGTGGAAGGGGCTCTGGCCCTGTCTGCACAAGCCCACACCTCCTGAGGGCATCCACTGGTGGGGGCTCCTCGATGGACCCTTTCTGGCAGGGCTTGCCCAGTTTCCCTCCTCGCTCCCACGAGAACCGGTTGTTAAATTATTTGAATCCCACCACTGGCTCTAGCTCTGTATAAATATTTTAGGAAAACAGCAGGATATTCATTTAACTGATCCAAGTCATGACAGATTTATTTATTTAATAAAATTATATGCCACCCATCTCACCTAGAAGTGACTTTAGGAGACTTACAAATAGATAAAAGTCTTTCACAAATTTTGCCCCATCTAAGCATAAAAAATTATTTCACTATTTGAGGAAACTTAATCTGGATATAGTCTGTCTTCAAGAAACACATATTAAGAAACAAGACAAGAAATATTTGATAAATAAACAATTAGAAGAATTTATATCAGCTGGTATAAAAAAGATTAATGGGGTTGTTTTATATATAAAATCCCAATTCAAACCTAAGCTACTTATAGCAGATGGACATGGTAGATTTGTAGCAGTGGAAATAGAATTTAATGAGATAAAATCAATAGTAGTGGGCGTGTACAGGCCAAATGATGATAGAAGCAATTTTTTTGATCATTTAATGGATCAGTTACTGCCTTTCTTGTATGGAAACTGGCTTATGTTGGGGGATTGGAATGGAGTGACTACACCAGCTTTGGATAGAACATCAATTAAAGGGGTTAACCCCTCACAGGGTAAATTATCTAAAACCTTCTTTGAGATGATGGGTAATCTAGCACTAATAGATTCATGGAGATAAAAAAAATGGAAATGCCAGAAAATATACATTCTTCTCTGAAAGACATAAATCTTTTTCAAGGATTGACATGATATGGATATCTAAAAATCACACAAGTAAAATTTTGACATTCTGGACATTCTGCCTAAACCTTTCTCGGACCATAATCCTGTGCTTTTGGTTTTAAAATGAAAGTGCTCGAGTTTCAGATGGAGATTAAATGAAGCTATTCTACAAAAGGAAAGGACTGTAAAAGACTGTAAAAAGAAACAACAGGAATACTTTGAGAATAATTTGGGAAAAGGGACAAGCTTAACAACAGTATGGGATGCAGTAAAGCGTTTATGAGGGGCTATTTTATACAGTACAATCACTTAGAGAAGAAAATATCCCAGGAAAAGATGCAAAGGATATTGAACGAAATTAGACAGATAAAAATTCAATTGCAAAAAGTCTTTTGCAAATTTATTAACCAATCATCAATTTTGTGTTTGTAATGGATACACTAAGTATGTTGGTGTTGTTATCCTGTGTGATATTTCAGGCAATCATTTTAAATATGAATAAAAGATATAAGGAGCTATCCTTGGATTTCAGTAGTTCTAAAATCTTGGTATATTACACACTTTATGTGGATTTTTTTCTTCCTTTTTCCCCCCGTTCATCATATCTAATTCTCAGAGACTCCTTCCAGTTTTCTTGACAAGATTTTTCAGAACTGTTTAGCCATTGCCTCTTTCCTAGGGCTAGGAGTGAATGACTGGTCCAAGGCATCTTTGTGTCTAAGGCAGGAGTAGAATTCTAGACTGATGTCATAACCACTACACCAAATTGGCTCTCATTTCTGTGGAATGCCTATGGGTATATCTACAAAGTATTTTTAAAATATAATACAATGCTTATTAATTTTCTGAAAGAATCTTTAGTTCACTATTAAAGTAGGGAAATTTGAGTTTTGAACTCTTGAATCTATACTTATATCCTGTGACAATATCTTTAACACTCTCATCTGTTTATGTGTCCTCAGACTCAATAGGGGCACAAACATGCCAAAACCGGTCTAAATATCTAGCTGACTCTGCAACCAACTATTATAATTTGCCAATACATACAGAAAGACCTGCTTGAAGCAGTTATTTAGCAGGATAAATAGGTCTCCAAATTCCTAGTCTGAAACCAGAGTTAATTATCAATTAACCTTGATAATTTGCTTTCTCTCAAGCACCTTGCACCCCATATATCTCTGTGCCCAGGAAATTATTTAGGAGAGCTTCTAGTATGTCTCTTTCAAGGCATCCAGATGGTCTCTTGAAATAATAGGTATCCAATCACTTTTCTCTGCTAGCTGCAATCTTTCCTGGTCACAGTATTTCATGCTCTAATAGCTTCCTGTCTAGATAAATTCAATATGCTGCATATGGAATTGCATTTGAGCATGACAAAAGGCTACAGACAACTGTCAGGAATAGTTATTAAACTACCATTTCTAACAAATTCATGCAGTGAAAAGAACTAAACATGAATTTAACAGAGGAGATTGATGGTTCTTAATAATGGGATTATTTTTCACTCTCTTACACCAATAATAGACTAGATAAAGGTAGTTTGGGGTTTTGATTTTAAATATTTGGCTAAATAAGTATCCTCAGATTCTAGTGCAGAGTTAGTGATTGTGCTGCCTACTGAAACCTGTTTGTAGTGCGCTCAGCTTTTACATTTGTGATAAGTCAGATATTACAAAGGCACCTTAGGTCTCTCATGGTTCTTAATCAAAAGATAACACATGAAAACACTTGATCCAGACTATTTGTCCAGTATTTGGGGGAAGATGACTGAAAATTCTGTTAATTGCATATGATGTTTTTTGAACATCTACTAACTGATGTTGTCCTGAATTATTTGTTAGATTTAAATCTCATATTTTTGCTACCAGTAAGATCTCCTTCATTTTATTTCTAGGGTCTCCTTTATTTTATTACTAAAAAATATTTCTGTGAAATGCATTGGAGGGAGGGAGGGAGGGAGGGAGGGAGGGAGGGAGGGAGGGAGGAGAGAGAGAGAGAGAGAGAGAGAGAGAGAGAGAGAGAGAGAGAGAGAGAGAGAGAGACTGAGGTCCAAGTTATGCTATGAGTTTTGGTGGCTGAAGGTGAGCCAGAATCTGAGTCTCTCCAGTCCAACTACTGTTTAATCATGGTATGGTTTTTATAATATTTAACAATTGAATTATTAAAAAGTACAATTGTTGTAATGTTTATAAGCAGGTAATTATTGTTGTAAAATGTACTTACATTGGTTATCACAGCCAGAATGGCTATTCCTTGCATGATAGGTTGCCATGCCCCTATATGTTGGGCTTTTTGGGAAACCATGCGTCTATACTGTGTGGTAATCTTCCAAGCATCCACATGAATTTCCAATAAATTGTTAATAAGGGCCAGAAGGGGTGCCAACGGGAATGATGACACAAATAATGTTACAAATCCAAATTGTATAACTAGAAATAATAAATATAGTATTATAATGTTGATGAAACAGTAGTGCTTTATCTGTTTTCAAATCTCACATTTGAAGGATATTGCAAAATCTCCATTCCCACTCCACTCTGAGGCCAGCCAGAGATGGTATTTGCTGGTTCTCCAAACTGCTCAAAATTTCCGCTACCGGTTCTCCAGAACCTGTCAGAACCTGCTGAATAGCACTCCTGATTCTAGGTTTATTCAATCATTTTCAGTATCTTATTCAATAAATTTCCAACATGTTATTCAATATTTCAACAAAAGAATATATACATTATTAATGTGGTGATTGTCTGTCTGTCTGTCCGTTCTATCTGTCTGTCTGTCTATCTATCTATCTATCTATCTATCTATCTATCTATCTATCTATCCATCCATCCATCCATCCATCCATCCATCCATCCATCCATCATCACATATACAGTGCATTCAGAAAGTATTCAGATTCCCTTCACTTCTGTCATTTTGTTATGCTACAGCCTAATTCTACAGTTGAAATTCATTTTTTTCTCATTAATCGACACTCAGTACCCCATAATGACAAATTAAAAACAGAATTTTGGAAATGTCTGTAAATTTATTAAAAAGAAAAAAACTGAAACGTTTGCAAGAACATTTGAAATTTAGCTCAAGTGCCTCCCATTTCTCTTGTTAGTTGCTGACATGTTTCTATGCTTTGATTGGAGTCAACCTGTGGTAAATTAAATTGATTGGACATGATTTGGAAAGGCACACACCTCTCTATAGAAAGCCTCACAGTTGACAATGCATACTGTAGCAGAGCAAAAGCCATGAGGTCAAAGGAACTGCCTGCAGAGTTCAGAGAAAGGATTATTGCAAGGCACAGCTCTGAGGAAGGCTACAATAAAAATTCTGCTGCACTAAAAGTTCCTAAGAGCACAGTGGCTTCCATAATTCTCAAGTGGAAGAAGTTTGGCACAACCAGGACTCTTCCAAGAGCTGGTCACCCTGTCAAACTGAGCAATTGGGGGAGAAGGACCTTAGGAAGAAAGGTGATCAGGAACCCAATGGTCACTCTGACTGAGCTCCAGTGATCCTGTATGGAGATGGGACAGAGTTCCAGGGCAACCATCACTGCAGCCCTCCACTGATCTGAGCTTTATGGTAGAGTGGCTAGATGGAAGCCTCTCCTCAGTGCAAAACACATGAAAGCCTGCTTGGAGTTTGTAAAAAAGCACCTGAAGGACTCTCAGACTGTGGGGAGCAAGATTCTCTGATCCGATGAAACCAAGATTGAACAGTTTGGCCTCAATTCTAAACATTATGTTTGGAGGAAACCGGGCACCACTTATCACCTGCCCAATATCATTCCAACAGTGAAGCATGGTGGTGGTATGCAGCAGGGACTGGAAGATTGATCAGGGTTGAGGGAAAGCTGAATGGAGCAAGGCACATAGCCAAGACAACATAGGAGAGATTTAGGGATAACTCTTAATGACTTGAACCCTACTGAACATCTTTGGAGGATACTGAAAATGGCTGTCCACCGATGGTCGTCATCCAACCTGACTGAGCTTGAAAGGATTTGCAAGAAAGAATGGCAGAAAATCCTCCAATCCAGGTGTGCAAAGCTTGTCATGTCATACCCAAAAAGACTCAAGGCTGTAATTGCTGCTAATGGTGCTTCAACTAAGTACTGAGTGAAGGTCTGAGTACTTATGCCAATGTGATATTTTTATTTTATCTCTTTAATAAATTTACAGACATTTCTAAAATTCTGTTTTTGCTTTGTCATTATGGGGTACTGAGTGTAGATTAATGAAAAAAAAAGAATTTCAACAACTATAGAATCAGGCTTCATCTTGACAAAAGTGAAGAGAGGGTTGAATACTTTCTGAATGCAGTATGTATGTGCGTATACACACACACACACACACACACACACACACACACTGTGGTGGTGCAGTGGTTAGAATGCAATACTGCAGGCTACTTCTGCTGACTCCTGGCTGCCTGCAATTTGGCAGTTCAAATCTCACCAGGCTCAAGGTTGAATCAGCCTTCCAACCTTCCAAGGTGGGTAAAATGAGGACCCAGATTGTTGGGGGCAATATCCTGACTTGGTAAACTGCTTAGAGAGAGCTATAAAGCACTGTGAAGCAGTATGTAAGTCTAAGTGCTATTGATTTTATTTATATACAGTATAAAAACATATCTCCTCTATATAGAGGAGGGTTATTAAAGATATTGGAAGAACTGAAATGTGCACATATTATGTTTATCAGAAAACGTGCATTAGTATCTCTTTATAGAAATGAATATACTTTTGGGCTAATATGGACTTCTGCTCTCACCAACGTTTTTTAAAAAAACCATAGGTGATAACCAGGATGGTCTTCCCATTTTTACAGTATATTAAAGCCCTTTGCATAGCCAAAAATAAGAAAAATTGGTGTACTAAAGTTGAATTAGAAAGTATGAGCATCTGTTCAGAGAGAGATAAGCATGAAAGGACTTTGTATTTAAGACATACAGAAGCCTTTTTAATACTAAAGTCTATGATTCAACCAAAATTCCAGCATAAATTTACACATTCATTTTACATATAATTTAAGCATAGCTCTTTGCATTAGGCCTCCATACCTGTGTAGGCATGCACACATGTACATGAGGTATACACACATTTTTTTCCTTTTCCTCTATTTTGTATTAATTATTTAACAGAATCTGTGAAGCAAATTTTGATCCAATATATAACATGACAAGAAGAAATAAAATGATTAGTCGGCTTACCCATTTCGAGGTATTCATAAAACAATCCAAGTTTGCCAATGGCCTGCAAATGGTAGTCCTGCTCCCAGCGAGGAACAATAGTTTTGGATCGTGTAGCTGAGCGGCATCTCCCAACCAGATTTTTAAGCCACCTGTACATTTGGAGAATCAGCAAGATTTATTCTAGCTGCTAGAGTAGAGGTGTAACATTTGAACTCTATCAGCATTTCTTTGTTGCTCCCAAAGTTCCGCAAAACAGTAGAGCTAAACATTTCAATTTTTTCCCACACTGGGAGGATTTAATCCATCTAATTCAAATTGAAAAAATAAAACAATCCATTTATAATTTCTATGTTCAACATCATCCCAAATCACCCCAAATTAGCTATCAACTCTGGGCTGCAAAACTTCAGACGACCTCAAAATGATAACAATAATTTATGGTTTTCTGTATCTCTTTATTTTTTATTTATTTTATTATTTTTATTTGTTATTATATTTATTTTTTATTTGTCAAGCATATATAAGATAACAGGTAAAAGTATAAACATAATTTGAATACATGAAAAGATTAAGAGTAAAAAGGAACATTAGGACAGGGACGGTAGGCATGCTGGTGCACTTATGCACGCCCCTTATAGACCTCTTAGGAATGGGGTGAGGTCAACAGGAGACAGTTTAAGGTTAAAGTTTTGGGGGTTTGGGGAAGAAATCCCCAAACCCCCAAAAAGTCAGGTAGTGTATTCCAGGCATTGACCACTCTGTTACTGAAGTCATATTTTCTGCAATCGAGTTTGGAGCAGTTTACCTTAAGTTTGTATCTATTGTGTGCTGTTGTGGTTGAAGCTGAAGTAGTCATTGACAGGTAGGATATTGTGGCAGATAATTTTATGTACTACACTTAGGTCACACTGAAATTGGCATAGTTCTAAGTTGTCTAAGTCCAAAATTTGAAGACTGGTGGCATTAGGTATTTTATTGCGGGTAGAGGAATGAAGGACTCTTCTCGTAAAATATCTCTGGACTCTCTCAATTGTATTTATGTCCAATATGCAGTGCGGGTTCCAGACAGATGAGCTGTATTCAAGAATTGGTCTAGCAAATATTTTGTATGCTCTAGTTACCAGAGAAAAAGCTACCCTAACCCTAACCCTAACCTAAGATTAGGTTAACAATTCTTAATGCCTTTTTGGCAATGTTGTTACAGTGGGCTTTGGCACTTAGATCTTTAGAAATGAGTACTCCAAAGTCCTTGACAGAGTGAGGGTCATCTACAAGGTCATGTTCATCTAATTTGTATTTTATGTTTTGATTTTTTTTTTGCCAATGTGCAAGACAGAGCATTTGTTGGTTGAGATTTGAAGTTGCCACTTGTTAGACCAATCTGACACATAGTCAAGGTCTTTTTGAAAGGTAGTTGCATTGTCGGTGGTGTTGAATAGTTTAACATCATCAGCGAAGAGAATGCAGTTGCTTTTAATATGATCGCAAAGGTCATTTATGTAAAGTATGAAGAGAGTTGTACCTAAAACACTGCCTTGGGGAACACCACTATTAACAGGTACAGGATTTGATAGAGTGCTTCCTATTTTAACCACTTATTGTCTGTTTGACAGAAAGGCAGTTATCCATTCATGTAGGAGTCCAGAAATGCCATAGGATTTTAGTTTTAGAAGTAATTTGTTGTGTACCACTGAATCAAAGGCTTTACAGAAGTCTATGTAAATTGCGTCTATTGCTCTGCCCTGATCAAGATGTGTAGTCCATACGTTTTTGCAATGTAGTAGTTGTAGATTACAGGATAATTTTTTTCTGAAACCAAATTGTTTGTTGGAGAGTAGGTTGTTTGTCTTTAGGTGGAGGGTAATAGATTGGTTAATGATTGATTCCATGATTTTGCAAGTGATGCAACATAAAGAGATTGGTCTGTAATTTTCAACTAGGCTAGCATCTCCCTTTTTGAAGATAGGGATGATCATGGCTTGTGAACCACAAGCAATGGTAGGGCAAGAAGTTGGTACTGAAAGATTTTTCAAAAATTATGCTTAGAGGTTTTGCGATTGCAGTGGAAAGCTTTTTTAAGAAGTATGCACATAGTCCACCAGGTCCAATAGATAGAGATGGTTTTAGGTAGCGTAGTGCCTTTTCAACGTTGTCTTCGGTAAAATCAATATGTATAAGATCACCGTAATCATTGTAATTATCTGAATTACGACTGGGAAATATTGGGTATGTGTTGTTGCTGTTTACAAAGACTGAGCCGAAGAACGTGTTAAAGAGATTGGCTTTAATGGTTTCGTCAATACAGTCTTCGTCGTTTGGTCCTTTTAGGGGTGGGATGGATCTCGAGTCTTTAAGTTTGTTGTTTACAAAATTATAGAAGGCAGGGGTGGATTTTGTGCATAGGTGGTTTTCCTCTTGCTTGATGTGATAATTGGTGCATTCAGTCATTATTTGTTGGCATAAGTTTTTGTAGCGGTTTTTTAAGCTAGCTACGTAGTTAGCTTTGTTTTTCTGGATTGTAGTTTCCTTATTGTTATTGGTAGTTTATTTTTTCTGGTTTTGGGGGATATTAGTGGTATGTAAAGTTTAATGATTCTTTTGACTTCGTGCAAGATAATGTTGTAATGGTCGTCAGCAGTATTACAGCCAATGAATAGACTTTGCCAATCAAGAGATCAGAGTTCATTGTTTTTGAGATCGTAGTTGGCTTTTTTAAAGCTATAACTGGGAATCCCATTATTATGATGATTTTTGTGAGGGCATAAATTGAGACAAAAGTCAATCATACTGTGGTCGCTGTTGGAGAATGGTTCTTTTATTTGTAGTCCATAAATTGAGTTTAAACTGTTGCAGAAGATGAGATCAAGGCAGTTGTTGAGTCTAATGTTGTTAGTTACTAGTTGATCAAGTCCCAGATTAGTTATAGTATTGTACAGGGTCAGGGGTGGGTTCTACTTACCTTTACCACTGGTTCGCAACAGGATCACGCGCAGATTGCTGATGATGACATCCGGGGCAGTGGGCGGGACCTCCCGCCAGTTTTACTACCAGTTCTTGTGAAACTGGGGGCAAACCATCACTGTACAGGGTTGCATGTATAGGTTCAGTTGTACATTCATTTAGGATCCAATTAATAAGTGTAAATTAAGGTCACCAAGAAAGATTATAGGGTGTGTGCAGGAGGCTGCTTATATTGGTAGTGAAGTTAACTAGTTCAAATTTGCAATGTCGTAATCTGGGGCTCTGTAACATAGTAAGAACCGAAATGTGGTATTTAAGGACAGGTCACAGACGATGGTTTCAGGAAGAGCAAGTTCTTGTGTAACTTGAATATTTTTTACATGTAGGTACTTTTTGTAGACTCTTTGTTGCCATCTAGGTTACCTGAATTTGGGGGGCCCAGTGAGAGAGCCCTAACTTAGCTCAAATTGAGTTATAAATTTAGTTGACTTAAGATAAGTACAAGATATAGAACTAGTACTAATTTTTAAAAAATCCTTTAATTCTCTTTATTTATTTCTTTTCTGAGTATTTCTTAGATCGTCACTGTTTTTCTGAGCATTTGACAATTAAATCTATTTTACTGATAAAGCTCTGTTTCTTAATTCAGGGATTGCTTTTTGTAGTGCAAATCAATTCTTCAGGTTTCTTTCAACTCCTGGTATCAACGCTATTTACTTACGGAAAAAGCACTTCTTGAATGTTATTCCAGATGGCTTTGCCTCCCATTATTATTGCTAGCTGTGTTGTCAGCTCAAGAAGACATCCACCTGGATCACACTAAGTGTGAAAAAGGGGGGATCAGAAATAAAGCATGTTATAACTTGCTTCCTGCAAAAAAATAATAGTTTCTTCAACTAAGCTATCCTAAACTTTATGAAAATGTTTTTATACTAAAATCTGCTTATTTGTATTTAGTCAATTTTATCCAACTATTCAGATAATAACTTCTGTTCAACCTAGCATATTAAACTGAGCACTAAAGAATGCTAGAAATCTATTTTTTCAGTTTTAATGTTCACTAATGAGATTAGCTGGCCTGAAATTACATATCCCAAATCAGAATATAAAAAGAGACAGATTAAAAAATCTCTAATCCACTGTCTTGTTTTCACAAGCCCTAGAAGCTTCTTGGATGAGAAGTGAAACATCTTAAAGGAAAAACAAAGACTAGTTTGTCTTTGGGATAACCATGACCGGGATGACTGAGACTCATCATGGACATATAGTTGTGTTGTTGCTTCCCAAAGTTGATAATTCAATAATATATTGCTTGCTTGTCCTATCTAGTTCTAACTAATGACAGATATTTTTTATTTAATCCTTTTTCTAAAATAACAAAGCTCATCACTTGTCCTTCAAAATTAATTCAGATTAATGAATTTTGCAAGCAAAGTGAGGAGCTTAGTTCTTTGTCCTCAGTATACTGCCCAGTAAAGAGGTAGCTTTTTATCCAGGTATTGAAGTAGAACCACAATGCCTATGGCTGGTGGTTGAGCATTTCAGGAAGATGACTAAGGCATTTTTTAGTGTTTTGTGTTATAGCTTTGTGATATTACATTTTTATATATCTATATATCTATATAAAGAAGCAGACATTCTATGAGCTCCGGAACTTAAAATTTTAAAATAATTTTAAAATTTTTTTTATTTATTTTACTAAGCTATATAAGTATATATACATATACGTATACATACATACATATATATACACACACACACACACAAAACCACATTGTGCAAACTTTCCGATACACACAAGCAACCTCCTTAAATAATCTACAGATTAGGTTACATTTAATCCTAGCAGAAATCCACATATCCAGTTATTCCTCCAGTGTTGTGTGAACAGTTTATTAGGGTGTTAATTCACTCTCTTAACCCCAAGATTAAGACAATATCCTCAGAACCAGGAGAATTCTGGTCATAAAACATAAGACAGATTCAGAAGAAGTTGGATAAGAAAATATAAAAATGACAGCTTCAACTGACTGTTTTGTTGTTGTTGGCTGGATTTAGGACCAAGCTTGAGGTTGCGTAGGAAAATTGCAAACATTTAAAATAAAATAGCAGAGGAATAATTAATTCCTTTCTTTCTGCTCAAAATTGGTTGCTGACATAGTTTTCACTTTCAGGTCTACAAATTCCTGTTTTTAGGGAGAAATAGCAATAGCACTTAGACTTATATACTTCACAGTGCTTTACAGTCCTCTCTAAGTGGTTTACAAAGTCAGCATATTGCCCCCAACAATCTGGTTGAGAGAAAGGTGGAAGGCTGAGTCAACCTTGAGCCAGTGAGAATCAAACTGCTGAACTGCCTTTAATCGTCAGCCAGCAGAATAAGCTTGCAATGCTGCATTCTAACCACTGCGCCACCACACCTCTTATATGTAATGTCGCCAAAAGGAAGATAATTCCTTGACACCAGCCCTTGTTCGCCCCCTCAAAAAAGAAAGAACAGCTGGAAACAGAAGTTTAAAAAATCCACAACCTGTTCTGCCCCAGCTACGGATCCCAAAGAACGCAAAGAACGTTAAAACGTTCTTAACAACCTGCCTGAAATTCCACAAATAAGATAGAGCCTTACTAGAGTTGGCAGAAAGCTCAGAATCAAGGTTTGTAGAGAAAATTCAAACTCAATGATCAGTGAACGAACATACGTTGTTTCCTGCAGCTTTTTACAAGCTGTGTGCAAACTTAAATAGGCTAAGGGAGTGGCCAATTAGTCCCAAGCCTTATTCTCGAGACCTCCTCCTGAGTAACCACTCCTGCCTTTTGGCAGCTCTGCATGCCCGTGCATTGAGAAGAGGCTCCCCCACTTCATCCTCTTCACTTAAAGGAGCCTCTGGAGGTTCTGAAAGCCCTGGTTGAATCCCTGCCTCTGGCACCACATCTTCTTCAGCCTCCTTGCTGTCCGACTCGAGTGCTGGCTACACAGGCTGCTGGCGCGACACTACACCAGCCTCCTCATTGTCGGGATCAGCAACAATCTGCGCAGGCCGCTGGCGGGCCACAACACAACCTACTATTTGAAAAAAACTCACAACCTACTCCTTGATAAGATAGAAAAATATGGTTTAGACAGCATCACCAACAGATGGATTCCTAACTGCCTGACAAACTGCACTCATGTAGTTCTTAATGGAACTGCATCTATAGGGAGAGAAATGGGGTGCCTCAAGGGTCTGTCTTAGGCCCAGTATTCTTCAATATCTTCATAAATGATTTAGACAAGGGGATAGAAAGGAAATTCATCAAATCTGCAGCTGACACCTAGCTGGCAGGAATAGCCAACACTCCAGAAAATAGGCTCAAGATACAGAGGGATCTCGACAGACTTGAACATTGGGCCCTATCTAACAAAATAAACTTCAGTGTAAGAAAAGTAAGGTTCTACATTTAGACAAGAAAAACAAATGCACAGATACAGAATAGGTCATACCTGGCTCAATAGTAGTAACGGCAAGAGGGATCTTCAGTGGTTGGATTCAGCTGGTTCACACCGGTTCAGTAGAACCAGTAGCTAATTTTTTGTGGAGTTCGGCGAACCAGCTGAATAGTGCCCATTTCAATCCCTCTGGTGTCTTGGCCTGTCTCACTGGGCCTGCACATAAGGCAGCAGCCCATGGCCAAAGTGCCAGTGGAGTGCCAGAGGGTCATGGAGGGTGCTGAAGTGAGCGGGCATCCAGCCTGCAGCACCCATGCTGGCTGTCCCTTCCTGGCCTTCCCTCTGGTGGGCCTGGGCAACTGATGGAGAGGGGCCCATTTCAGCACCTGGCACCCAGATGCACTCACTTCCAGCAAGCATTTCTTTGCCTACCTGATTTCCAGCTCTGCCATGTTTCTCGCCATCGTGTGCAGAGAAACAAAAATTTGTGGGTGGGACTAAAAAAAAAAGTTCAATCAATCAATTCCAACTTCACAAGATCTTTTTTTTTTCATGAGAAATTGGAATTGATTGATTGAACTTATTTTTTTAGTCCCACAAACTTGTTTCCCTGCACAAAACAGTGAGAAACACAACGAAGAAACACAATGGAGCTGGAAATCAGGTAGGCAAATAAATGCTTGGAGGAAGCAAGGGCATCTGGGTAGTGGTGGGTGGGGCAAGCTCCGCAGCATGGTGCTGTGTTGCAATGGAGAAACGGGCAATGGAGTGGCCAGCACGAGGGAAGGAGGAGGCTACTTTCCCTCTTCTCCCTGCTCCTCCTCCTTTCCTCATGCTGGCCACTCCATTTCCCATTTCTCCATTGTAGTGCAGGGTCCAGGATCCACTTTGATAGCAGGGTGGGGTGTAATTTAACTATCGTTTCACCCAGGATCATGTTGAACATTGCAGGACACTCATCCCATATGTGCAGGACGCTCATCCCACATGGGGGTGGGCCACCTGCCTCACGATGGCCAACCTGATCCTGGATGAACCGGTTGTTAAATTATTTGAATCCCACCACTGGATCTTGCATACCTAGTGGATAATCACTTAAATACCAGCCAGCAGTGTGGTGCAGCTGCCAAAAATGCAGTCCTAAGATGCATTAACAAAGGGATAGACTCGAGATCATGTGAAATGTTAGCACCACTTTATAATGCCTTGGTAACACCACACTTGAAATATTGCATCCAGTTTTGGTTACCACAGTATAAAAAAGTTGTTGAGACTCTGAAAAGAGTGCAGAGAAGAGCAACAAAGATAATAGGGGACTTCATAAAACATATGAAGAATGGTTGCATTCTTTATTGGAATGTCTATCCCAAAGGTGCTTCCCCCCCCCCCCCGCCCCATGACCTGGATGACTGAGAATCTCTATAGACTTTCAGGGGTATGTCTGGTTTAATGAAAAGAGGTGACATGATAGAAGTGTTCCAATATCTAATGGGCTGCCACAAAGAAGAAGAGGTCAGCCTATTCCTCAAAGCACCTGAAGGCAGAATAAGAAGCAATGGATGGAAACTAATGAAGGAGAGAGCCACCTAGAACTAAGGAGAAATTTCCTGACAGTTAGAACAATTACTCAGTGGAATGGCTTGCCTCTAGAAGTTTTGGGAGCTCCAAAAGTGGAGGTTTTTAAGAAGAAATTATACAATTACTTGTCTGAAATGGCATAGGGTTTTATGCTTGAGCAAAGGATTGGACTAGAAGACATTCAAGGTATCTTCCAACTCTGTTATTGTTTTCAAAGCCCTTATCCAATGCCTAGCATTGGACATTATCCACCTACAGTTGCCAAGTCCACTTGAATGCAGAAATTTCTACCTCCTCAATAAATGTATGTATAGAATGCCATAGTCCAAAAAGGTAAAGAGGAAAAAAGTGCAATCAGCTTAATAGTTATCAGTTGAAATATACCTATAAAACAAAATTCATTCATTCATACCTCCTCATTTCTGTATTTTCCCAACCAATAAACTGGGTCACCAGGGAAACCTATAAATTTACCCTTAAAAAATGCAATGTAGAAACATGAAGAATAATAGTTGACAAATTGAAATAAAAACATCTTCGTAGTTAGGCTATATTCATAATCAGTCTGCGTCCTTGGTAATTCTGCAGTTTACAGGTAAAGGAGAGAGAAATTGTTAATCCAAGAGCAATTTTTTGGCAAAAATATTGTGTTTTAGCTTAAATAACATTATTTGAACTATTCAAATATGTAACTGTTACTATTAATTTAATTTAATTTAATTTAATTTAATTTATATGCCGCCCCTCTCCGAAGACTCAGGGCGGCTCACAATACATTTAAAAAATCATTATAAAAAGACATTGAAAAATTAAAAACATTAAAAACATTAAAAACTCATTACTGTTACATAGTAACTATATTGTTACTATGTTACTACCTTTTCTTCTTTTACCATGTGATCAACTGATATTATACATGTGTGTTCTGGCTAGCATCATTTAGCATAGGCATTCTACTAAGAGCCATGATGTGGTTAGAATGCAGTGCTGCAAGCCAGGAGTTTGATCCTGACTGGCTGAGAGTGACTCAACCTTCCATCCTCCTGAGATTGGTAAAATGAGGACTCAGATTGTTGGGGGCAATATGCTGACTCTGTAAACCACTTAGAGAGTGCTATAAAGCACTATGAAGTAGTATATAAGTCTAAGTACTATTGCTGTTGCTAACTGTGCATGCTTCAAAAATTGATTCCAAATAAGAGTTGTAGACCAGACACAAAGATGAAGGCAGCACACTCAGATATTTACAAAAGCAACTCAATCTTTTTTAGATTCCTTCATCTGCCTGAAAAATATTGCTGCTGCTTTAAGGAATTTACTTTTTAATGTTGGAAGCTATTTTTGGCAGGTTACTGGTAGTACTTAATACATTTTACTCCTGATATTGTATAGAATGTTATGATAACCTTACCAAAGTCAGTAATCATTATCGCTACTTTCTCATAGATAATATTCAGAATCATAATAATGATGAAGTTGAGCACTGAAGCAGATACTGAAGTTGCTAATTGTGGGGTCAGGTACTTCTGTATTGTGTCAGTTCCATTGATGTGCCTTGGCAATGTTGCAGAAAATACCAGGAAAACAGAAAGTCTGTAAACAATTATACCAACAACAGATGCAAGAATGAGCAGAATCTAAAAGGAAAAGACAAAAGATACATTCTTACTTTCTTATATACTTTCCTAAATATAACAACTACCTTCATAAGCATATCCATTTTTTTAAAAAATTCATTAAGAGACTCCCAATTAAATTCTAGGAGAAATTATATTTCTTTGTAGAATTCACCTTCTAAACTGCAAGAAGAAAACATTCTAGCATAAGGTGACCAGACATCCCGCTTTTGGCGGGACAGTCCCGCTTTTGAGCAATTTGTCCCGCGTCCCGCAGCGTTTTAAAAAAGTCCCGATTTTTCATTCTGCCTCCTGAGTCCCCGCTGATGGCTAGAGGGAAAAAACCTGTTTAAACTCTTGCTGCGGGGCTTCAAAGGGCAGCCCTACGTTGATTAGCTCGGCTTCCCCCTCTCAGCTGATTTGCGCAGGGCTCTGCTCTTGCTAAATTGCTCAGCAGTTTTTTTTTTCTCTTTGTGCAAACCAAGCTCAAAACGAAACTGAAAGTAAAACAGGCTGTTGGCTTTGCTGTTTGCTTGCAACTTTGGAAAATTAGGCAGCAGATTTATTTTCCTTTTCCTCACCAAAAAAGGTAGGTGCAAACAATGGGAAATTATTTAGGGCAAAAGAGATTTTAAATTCAAGATTTTAGATTCAAGATTTTAAAACACAAAAGAAAAAAAAGCTCTTTTTAACTAGGGAATTGTAATAATTGAGATACTATTAATTGTATACTGTGTTGAAAGCAGAAATTGTTAAGTTGTGGTTTGGAGAAATATATGGGGGAAATTATTTGGTTTATTATTATTGGTAAATATAATTAATTGATTTGTAAGAAATTGGATTGCATGGAAATAATTGGAATATTCATGTTCATATTGATTAATATACAAAAAAGATAGTTATATAACTAATTGATTTATATTAAAATGTTGAATTTGTATTAAACAACTGTATTACATAATTACATAATTAACCAATGTGAGGATGGATATAAAAATAGATGACAATGGGAAGGGGTATAATATAGAATAGAAGGGAAAAATTGAATTTGATTAAGATTAGAGATGAGGATGAAGGGTAATATTGTTTTTTTTAAAAAAGAGATGAGGAATAAATATGGCAAAAAGGAAATATAGAAATTGTAAATTTAATTGAAATGACTAAACACTGTTTAAATTTGTGAACCAGCCAAATATTCTGTTCAAAGAAAATACATTGTATGTTTGTATGTGTGTTTCTAATTATTGCTATTTATTCATATTTGTTCTCTTTTATTCTTTAAAGTTTAACAATTCATTCTTTATCTTAATATCTTTATATTTGTTTGGGGTTGGCTTTCTTCCCTTTCATCTTTTTTATTGTACAGCAATCTTTCTTCTCAAACCTACCACCTCTCTTTTCTTTCCTTCTTACTTTCTCTTCCCCCCCACCCTCTTCTTCTCCTCCCTATTTCCTCTTCCTTTCTCCTTCTCCTCCTCTCTTCCTCCCTCTCTTACCGTCACTCCTACTCTAATTTCCCTTCCCTTCCTTCATCCCTCTCTATTACTGTATCCTTTTATGCATATGGATTACTCAGAGGGCTGAAAAAGTTATTTTTGACTGGTCCTCGCACTTTTGACCAGTCCTCGAACTTACGACTGTCCTCACATTTTACGTTTTTGCCCTATCTTGTCACCATGGTGAAGAGAAGCAGTTGTGAAATGAGTGACATGGTTGTTAAGAATGCTGCACGGGCATAAATGTGAGGATGGTCATAAGTGTGAGGACCAGTCAAAAGTGTGAGGACCTGTCAGAAATGACTTTTCAGCCCTCTGAGTAGTCCCTATACACATAGCCATGGCCACCGGGTCACATGACCAGCTAGCCACGCCCACCCAGTCACATGGCCTCCAAGCCACGCCCACACAATAAGCCACGCCCACAATGGTGTCCTTCTTACCAATGTTAAAATCTGTTCACCTTACCCTATACACGTAGCCATGGCCACCCGTTCACATGACCAGCTAGCCACACCCACAAAATAAGCCACACCCACAATGTCCCTCTTTACCAATGTTAAAATCTGGTCACCTTATTCTAGCACCCTGAACCTATTTTTTTAGTTTAGTGGGAACTACATTATAGAAATACAAAATTATTTGCCACCCGCTGAAAACCATGAGTCATTGGGTGTAAGTGGCATCATGTCACTCACCACAGACTTATCTAGATCTATTCAACCACAACCAAAAGTTACCCCAGGAAATGACAACCTGAAATATAACCATAATTACATTGTACATGCTCTATTCTCTATGCTCCAAAATTTGTGTTCCTACACGCAGAGGTTGGGGGTGCTCCAACACTGAAGGTTTTTAAGAAGAAATAGAAATAGAAATAGAATAACAGAGTTGGAAGGGACCTTGGAGGCCTTCTAGTCCAACCCCCTGCCCAGGCAGGAAACCCTATACCACTTCAGACAAATGGTTATCCAACATCTTCTTAAAAATTTCCAGTGTTGGAGCATTCACAACTTCTGCTGGCAAGTTGTTCCACTTATTAATTGTTCTAACTGTCAGGAAATTTCTCCTTAGTTCTAAGTTGCTTCTCTCCTTGATTAGTTTCCAACTATTGCTTCTTGTTCTACCCTCAGGTGCTTTGAAGAATAGTTTGACTCCCTCTTCTTTGTGGCAACCCTTGAGATATTGGAACACTACTATCATGTCTCCCCTAGTGCTTCTTTTCATTAAACTAGACATACCCAGTTCCTGCAACCGTTCTTCATATGTTTTAGTCTCCAGTCCCCTAATCATCTTTGTTGCTCTTCTCTGCATTCTTTCTAGAGTCTCAACATCTTTTTTACATCGTGGTGACCAAAACTGAATGCAATATTCCAAGTGTGGCCTTGCCAAGGCGTTATAAAGTGGTATTAACACGTCACGTGATCTTGATTCTATCCCTCTGTTTATGCAGCCCAGAACTGTGTTGGCTTTTTTGGCAGCTGCTGCACACTGCTGGCTCATATCTAAATGGTTGTCCACTAGGACTCCAAGATCCCTCTCACAGTTACTACTATTGAGCAAGGTACCACATATTCGGTACCTGCGCATTTTGTTTTTCTTCCCTAAATGTAGAACCTTACTTTTTTCACTGCTGAATTTCATTTTGTTAGATAGCGTCTAATATTCAAGTCTGTCAAGATCCTTCTGTATCTTGAGCCTATCTTCTGGAGTGTTGGCTATTCCTACCAGCTTGCTGTCATCTGCAAATTTGATGAGTTCCCCATCTATCCCCCCGTCCAAGTCATTGATGAAGATGTTGAAGAGCACTGGGCCTAAAACAGAGCCCTGAAGTACTCCACTGCATACTTCCCTCCATGTAGATGCATGTCTCCATACATCGACATCTCCATGTCGATTGAGGACTATACGTTGAGTGCGGTTGGTCAGCTAGTTACGAATCCATCTTGTGGTGATGCTGTTTAACCCACATTTTTCTACTTTATCTAGTAGTAGGTTATGGTCTACTTTATCAAATCCTTTACTGAAGTCAAAGTAAATTATATCGACAGCATTCCTCTGATCCACTAATTTTGTCACTTTGTCAAAGAATGCAATAAGATTAGTCTGGCATTATCTGTTTTTGACAAACCCATGTTGACTTATGGTTATTACTTTGTTTGCTTCTAGGTGTTCGGTGATTCGTTGCTTGATTATCTTTTCCAGAATCTTCCCTGGTATTGAGGTCAGGCTGATAGGTCTTTAGTTTCCTGGATCTGTTTTTTTTCTTTTTTTGAAGATGGGAACTACATCAGCTCTTTTCCAGTCTTCTGGCAGCTCCCCTGTGCGCCAGGATCTTTGAAAGATATAGTTCAGTGGATTTCGTCTGCCAGTTCCTTCAGAACCTTGGGGTGTAATCCATCTGGTCCTGGTGATTTGTCCTCGTCTAGGGTAAACAAGTGTTCACTTACCATTTTCTTCCCTATTTTAACTTGTGTTCCTAATCTATTTTTTGTGGTGCTGTTTTTGATAGGTTGGACTGTTTTTTCCTTTTGTGTAAAGACAGATGCAAAAAATGAGTTAAGTAGTTTTGCTTTCTCCCTGTTGCTTGTCATCTTCTTGCTACTTTCTCCCAGCAATGGGCCAATTGTTTCCTTGACTTTTTTCTTGTTTTTGATATGTTGGCAGAAGCTTTTTTTGTTATTTTTTACTTTAGTTGCAAGCCTTTGTTCATTGTGAACGTTAGCTTTCCTCACTTCATCTTTACAGGCTCGGGCTATTTGCTGATATTCTGCCTTAGTTATTTGCTCCTCATTCCACTTTTTATACTTGTCCTTTTTGTCTTTCAATTTGTTAGAGAGTTCCTTATGCAGCCATGCTGGTTTCTTTTGAGATCTATTATTTTTCTTCTTCATTGGTATTGTGCTAGACTGGGCTTTTATAATCTCACTTTTCAAAATTTCCCAAGCTTCTTGAGTTGTTTTCCCCTTGAGGATTCTCATCCATAGAATCCTTCTCAAGCCCTCTCTAAGTTTATTGAAATTAGCTCTCTTAAAGTCCAAGACTCTAGTTTGACTTTGTTCTACTACTTGTGTTTGTATAATGTTGAATTCTAATATTGCGTGATCACTTGCCCCCAAGGTTCCTGTAGCTTCAACACCTTCTATCATTTCATCTCTGTTAGTGGGAATTAAGTCCAATATGGCTGATCCCCTTGTTCCCTTCTCTATTTTTTGGGAAACAAAGTTGTCTGTTAGGTTTGTTAGGAACCTATTTGATCTTCCATTTGATGCAGAGTTTATCTCCCAGTTGATGTCAGGGTAGTTAAAATCCCCCATTACTATTGTGATGTGCTTCCTACATACCTTAGTTAGCTGACTAGCAAAAAGATAATCTACTTCCTCTGTTTGGTTGGGTGGCCTATAGTATAGACCTATGGCAATGTCATTTCCCGCCCTTTAATATTGACCCAAATGCATTCAAGATAATTTTCATCATTGTTGTGTTCTATTTCTGTAGAGATGTAGTTATTTTCTTATATAT